CGGAACCAGGATCGAGAACCTCCGAGAAAGGTTCGTTGATAGAATCGTCCGAATTGGACATCTTGAGTTTATACTTCTTGAGGTGTTTTAACGGGGAGTAGTAAGGTTGCTACCTTGCGTTGTTGTCACCTGAAATGACAGCTGGCAGAGGGAAGAGCAGATATAAAGGGATTAGCAGGAGCTATGATAGGCTTGTGAGAATGGAGAGAGGAGAGATTGGTTAGCTGGGGAGTGACGCCCCCGATCACTTAATGAGTAAGGAGAGTGTAATGTGGTGACGTGTAATCTGAATGAAGAGCTTGGTCTTCCTGATTGAACTTGCGCTGAGCTTCATAAACCCTTTGGCTTTCTCTGAAGAGTATTTCTATGAAAGATACAGGTTCTCGTCAGAAGGGCTGACTTATCTTTGTCAGCTCCTTGAGCCACATATTGCTAATGCCACACATCGGAGTTGTGCCCTTACAGTGCCGCAGACTGTATGTATTGCTTTGCGATTTTTTGCGACCGGAAGTTTTTTGTATTCTGTGGGTGATGCAGAGAACCTCAGCAAGAATACAGTCTGCAGTGCTATTCATAAGGTCGCACAAGCTCTGACAGGGCTCGCAGAGTCCTTTATTGTGTTTCCTGGCACATGTCCCACGCAGACGATCAAAGAGGGATTTTACAGCATGGCAGGTATGTGATTATATCTTTACAGTGAATGTTGTTCCTATGACGTACACGTCCCGATGGCCAGTCAGAAGCTAGAATGCCAACCTAGGGAGCCAATCAGAACCTATAACGGGCTAAAGGGTGGTCCGCACGCATGGGCCGGTGCGTCTGAACGTCCCGGGATGAATTTGTGTCCCTGTACCAGTGGCGTAGCTGTGGGTGGGCCCGGGTGGGCCTGGGCCCACCCACATGCACGTCTGGCCCACCCACAGCCAATCAGCGCGTTATAGCGCAGAGCCGGGAAGCCCAGAAGGAAGTGCCACAAACTGCAGTTCTTCTAGTGGCCAACAGGGGATGGATGCAGAAAGGAGCAATTCCCATAGACCTCCATGTTAAAATGCCCAACTTTACAGCAGAAATAAACATGTTTCTAGCCTGGATCCACTCAAACTTATTCTGGATATAGTTAGATTCCACCTTCATGACAATGGAATAGGGAGTGCATTTTTTTACCGTGAGTAAATTAGTAAGTAAAGTAGGTTTTGCCGTGAGTTAACAAAAGTCTTATTTCTTCTTGAGGTCTGCAGTGAAGCGTGTACACATTTGCTGAATATGAAAACTCTCAGTGTGTGCCCACTGTGCGACTGTCAAGGATAAACAACCTGTGGCCGCCGAGCCAGTCATGTGTAGGGATGGGTACCGAGCCCCAGGGCTGAATTATTAAAGACCGTGGTACCATTAAGCTCCGACATTATCGGTCGGCACTGGAGACATGTAAAAAATATATCTCATATGTATTATTGCTACACAAACATTATATTGCAGTTTTAGTGTCGCCAACTCTGTTTCTAATATGCAAAAAGACTGCAAAATGCGTCTATGATTATTTTTAGTATTTTCGATCTTTCCAATCCAGACGAGAGATCTCTCTCCCCCGTCTGTGTGCGAGGGGGCGGGGCAGTTTACACATACGCAGCTGCTACATGCAGCAACACACACACACACGGAGGGGATGGCGGAGAGAACGCGCTCCGAGGTGTGGTTAAACTTTACCTGTTCGATGTGGACAATGCTCGTTACCAAAAGTGCAATAAGAGTTTAGCATGTAAGGGCGGTAACACGAGCAATTTGTCTAAACATCTTGTAAAAGTGCACCACATCCAGACGGAGGAATGCACCGGGTTCGACTGTCTTTCTAGTAGCTCTGTAGCCCCATCCACGAGTAACTTTTCCACGTCAGGTGTTATGTATGCTAGCAGCAACACACGGAGTTAACTCAATTATACAAACATGGGCTAATGATTAGAGGTAATTTAGAGTTATTTATTTTGTTAAAGTTTCAGCTATTCTGTTTACAGTTCTGTCATCACATTATTTAATACGATTTGTTAAAACACTGTTGTTTCTTTTGATGTGAAATATTATGTATTTAATTAAAATAAAAAGCAATGATAGTTTTGTTCACAATTTGTGTTAGTTAGTTTACCTTATTTTTTTCTCAAAAAAAAAGATAAAAGTACCGTTAAAGCCGTGCCTATGTTTTTGTTTTCACTGCTAGTTTATGCTTATGTTCAATTAGTGCATTACAAAATCATTAATGAAGTTTCAGCTCAGACCCCACGCTTAATAAGTCTCCCCCTGGCCCACCTACATTTCTCCAGGCCCACCCACACAATAATTCCTGGCTACGCCACTGCCCTGTACACTGTTGTATAATAAATGCAACCTACTATTTCATAGGGTTTCCCAGGGTGCTTGGCTGTATAAACTGTACACACATACCCATCTCTGCGTCCCTGGGAGAAAATGAAGGCGATTATGTAAATCGCAAATCCTTCCACAGCCTCAACATTCAGGTAAATCTTGCACATTCACTTATAGAACACACATTGAAGTCTGGGTGATAAAAGGAAATCACACATTTAAATATTCACACAGTACATGTTTCACACTTGGACTATCTTTCTCTATAACATGGACTCATTTCAAATGAACATTGATGCTACACTGACTAGATGCTCTTATTGTGGAAGTAGGCTTGTTAACCCCAAATTCTTTTGCAGGCCACATGTGACCACAGGTGTCTCATCACCAGCCTTGATGCAAAGTGGCCTGGGTCAGTCCATGACTCGAGGATCTTCTCAGTCATCACTGTGTCACAAACTCGAACAGGGTATGGCAACTGTACATTCTTATTGTTTTGTGCTTCTTAACCTCTTAAGCACGGCGGTCCCCCCATTGGACCCCTCCCACCTTTTTGTTTTCGAGATAATGTCTCAGGGCTTCTTAACATTTATGAAACTATTAATGTGTAGCACCAGATTAACGGGAAGAATCTCAGCTAACTGAAGATATGAACCATTTTTACCAAAACAAAACACAAGTCTCATAAGAAGGGTCTAAATGACCCCTGAGCGAAAAAATTCTAACGCACTGCGGCACACAATTCAAGATAAAGATACCCGTATTACTTATCGTAGCTGCACATACAATATAGCCTATTAAAGCTGAGACTCCACTGATTATTTAGGTATAGTATCATCACTGAGCGATCCGAACTTGCGACAGGGGAAGCAAACACAGACATCACAACACGTACCTTTACGGAGGTTTTACGGCAGATCGTCTCACCGTAGCTGTCAATTAGGTCAAAAGACGTGTTCAATGGCATTAAAACGAAAAAAAAAATGTCTACAACTGTTGATCCATAGGTTGATAATGTACCTGTACCTTTTAAAAAATTATTTATAATCCATAATTCCATTTTTTATGTAAAAATCGGAGCGGAAAAGTTAGCTGCTAATGGTAACCACCAGAGTGTATGCAGCTTCCGGTTTTGGTAACGCGTCACTCTCACTCCTTATTTGTTAACGTTTTGGTGTGTATATAACTTTCCCTCAATTCCATTGGCTCTAACGGTTATAAAGAGCTTTCATTCATCAAAATCGACCAAGGGGGGCCAAATGACCCCAGAAGTGGGGGTTTTTGGCTAAATCTCTCTAAAAAGGTCAAATTTCACTTGTTTTGCATCAATCTTGATACAGGGTACTTATTATATGTTGTACTTTGGATTCCTCAAGCTTTTAGTCTACTAACCCATCATCCAAGGGTAGTTTTCACTATAAGTAAAAAATTATTTTTGGACGGACACTATAGTTTACAGTTTTTTACTCTGAATTTTCTTTAAAATAAAAAACATCTATATTGATTCTGACTTTTCTACATCCAACTCACAGGTTTATCATTACTTTGAGAATAACGATTATTAATTTAACCCTTTTAGAAGGGAAGATATGGTCATTTGTTCTGGGAATGTCATTTTCGAGCCTGAGACCTGAAAAACAGGCTCAGGGCTTAAGAGGTTAAGCTGCCTTTTGTGTATACTTATGGAAATGTTCCTTTATCTTCAGGAGTCTTCAGTGGAGTGCTGCTCGGGGACAGGGGTTATGCCTGCCAGCCTTTCCTAATGACCCCATATCCTGACCCTGGTGAATGGCCACAAACCACTTTCAATGTGGCCCATACCAAAACCAGGGTCAGGATAGAAATGACCTTTGGACTACTGAAGGCCCGATTCACCTGCCTGCGAGGGCTCAGAGTGGCCCTTGAAAGAGCGGTTCCCATCATAACGGCCTGTGTTGTGCTGCACAACATTGCAACCATGAGGAATGAGAGGGCCCCTCATGCAATCCCCCAACCTCCTGATGTGGTAGACCCCATCACCCTGGACTACCCTACTGGCAGGGCTGTCAGAGATTCTATTGCATGTTATATTGGCCAATAACAAAAGAACACACAGAGAGAGAGAGACCTTGGGTGATTTATGTCGGAGTTTTTATTTTGTGAGGTATTCCTGACGGAAAAAGAGAAAAAAAACATATTTCTTGGTTTACTTTTTCTTTAAAGACAAAAGGGATTTGTGTTTTAGGTATCCTAAAAGATGTAAAGGTCACCTTATGCACCTTTCATTTGACTTGAAAAAAAATTACTGAATGTTACAAAATTACCTGTCTTTCTCTCTCCAATTTCTCCACCTCCAGCTTTGTTTTTTCCATCAACAGCTTCTGGTGCTCTATGAGGAGGTCATTCAATTGGATGCTTTGGACTAGGGTCCGTTTGTACAGGGCCCGCACAGTGTCTGCTTCAGCCTGAAACACATATATGTTGCTTTAACATTCAAGCATGGCTCACAGCAAGAAAGCTGACAATTTTAAACTTGACTATACTTTTACATTTTGTTTAATTAATTACTTGTCGTGAGGGCCTAGATAAGGGCCTAGATGAGGGCCCAGGCTGCGGGGGAGGAATCTGCACCTGCTGTGGGGGAGGAATCAGCACCTGTAGCTGCGGGGGAGGAATCAGCACCTGTAGCTGCGGGGGAGGAAGAGTTCCTTCTTCCTGCGAATTGAACAAAGCAAATATATTTTCAATACACAGTAGTTTTTTGTCCCATGTGCAGACCACCACCATGTGCAAGTAATCAGAAAGAATCAATTAAAGCAACGTGTCCACACCATCTCTGCGCTCTCTGACAGTGTGTCATCCTCATCTAGGCCCCCCTGAAAAGAAGAAGAAATGTAAATGGTCTATTTTATCCATATTCAGCTCAAGGTGACATACCAAAGGTTACGTTACCTCTGTATGAGGTATAGTTGTTGATTGGGGGGGGCAGCAACACCACGTTCTTCCCATCTGCAGAACAATAAAATACATGTTACTTACTCCCACATAAATAGATATATAATTGTGTTTTATAGCAACGCAGCTGTTTCAAGCTCCCTGAATCTTACCCTGTATATAAAGGTGGTGGGAGCTGCTGCAACCAGGGTCTGTAGAGAACCCCCCTTCCACCCCTACCATCAAGGGCCGACCCTCATTGTTGCTGAGGGCCAGCTCCTCGGCAGGGGTGAACTCTGCTGGAGGAGGTCTTCCTCTGGTCCTTTTTTTTCTTGTTGGCTGCAAGAATTGGGAAAAAATGTGACCGCTTTCCTATACAGTTATGAAACACAGACGAATTGAAGCAATACAAAACGTGTATTTTCAAGATCTCAAAAGAGGGAAATTTACCAGATTGAAGGATGTTCTTGTATTTTATTTTGGTCTGTTCCCAGGTCCTTTTGGAGCCGCCGGGATTACATCTGAAAAACGAAACGAAAAATGTCATGTACAGCTTGAATTAAAAATAAATGCTATAAATTAAAAGGATAAAAAAAAAAATTAGGCTTAAAGCATGGCTCAAAGTCCACTTGTGACCCTCGGGCGATGATATGATAAAGACAAAAAGGCTGCCACTCAATGATCAATTTGGTATTTTAATGACTATTTATCCGCTGAACTAGAAAATTAATCTGGAAGCGTGACATGACTGCCGTGCATCCAATACACTTTTTAAAGATGTGCAGCTGTGCACGCTGTTACATAGGACGTAATTTACTTACGCATTCACAGTCAGCAATTTGTTGCCAACCACTTTGGCGACTTTTGGCAGCCGCAACCGTGTTGCTTTTAACTTTTATCATGTGCTTGAAGTCCTCAAAGCGGCTCATTATAACACTTTGCTCCTCTGCTGTGAAGTACGCTGCTCTAGCCTTGTCCATGTTTGTGATTGGTCGAATGCTCCAGATTCCACACATTTTATGTGAACGCGCACCTAACTAGATAGGACACGGCTGGCTTGCGATCGAGGTGATAGCCAGCGTCGTAGGACAGTTTAGCGAGAGCGTTTTTTTTTTTTGGATTTAGTCAGCCGGATAACTCAAAACATATCCAGGATATGTTGAACTAGATTCGTAGTATACCCCCCAGGCCTCTGGTCTTGACATCAAGGAGTGTTGTGGAAGGCCTGAAACAAAAACAACATACATGTAAGTACTGGACACTTGAAAATGGAATTAAATTGTTAAATTTGGGAATTTCTAAATAATAGTTTCTTACCAAGGAGCTGCTGCTTTTCCTTCAAGATGGTAGCTGACATCGAGGATCTCTTGAACCAGACAACCACTGCTCTGATTCTGGCTGCCCATTTATCAATAGCAGCCACTGTGTAGATTGTCTGCGCTGCCAGATTTAAGGTATGCGCAAAGCATCCTATTTTTAGGATGTGCAGCTTCTTTATGGCAACATCCATATTACCAGCATTGTCAACAGTCACAGCTACAATCTTGCTTGGTTCTATTTCAAAGTCTTCCAGGATGTCAGAGATCTCCTCTGCAACTACTTCACCAGTTTGTGATTTGTACACTGCTCTTGTGTGGAGGACCTTCTGTTTTAAGATGCCCTGGATTGTGTAGTGCACTGTTACAGTGAGGTAGTGGTCCTGACTGAAACTGGTCCACCCATCTGATGTGATGGCAAGCTTTGGCACGTCCTTTATCTCACTGATCACATTGGCCTTTTCTATACCATACCAGGTAGGAATTAATGTGTCACTGAGGTAACTCCTGGAAGGAGGGTTATATTTGGGGTTGAGTGCCTTGCACATTTCCCTGCAGTAAAGGAAGTAAAAATGCTTTTGGATTAAAGGCATATAAGGAATGTTTCTTTGTCTACTATTATTTATACTGTGTGTAAGAAAAGCATGATTTTGTATTTTGAAGAAATTACATATAGAAAGTATTCAAAAAAAATGAATCAGTCTATTGAGTTATTGTGTTTAGAGTGATGTGAATAACATGCATAAAGGTTTATTGCACTTAAAATATAATCAAACCTTGGAGCACGTTCTCTCCGCCATCTCCGCCGTGTGTGTGTTGCATGCATGTAGCGGCTGCGTGTGTGTAAACGGCCCCGCCCCCTCGCACACAGACAGTGGAGAGAGAGATCTCTCATCTGGATTGGAAAGATCGAAAATACATCAGACACATTTTTTTGTCTTTTTGCATGTTAGAAACGGAGTTGGCGAAACTAAAACAGCAATATAATGTTTATGTAGCAATAATACATATGACATATTTTTTACATGTCTCCAGTACCGATAAAAAGAACGATAACGTCGGAGCTTAACGGTACCACGGTCTTTAATAATTCAGCCCCGTTTAATACCGGGGCTCGGTACCCATCCCCAAGAGTACAATGGATTTTACCCATCATTACTCTCTGCAGGGCTGATCTTAACTCTGCTGTGGCTTTTAGAGAGATAAACCTTATAAAGTATTGATTACCCCCAGGACCTGGTGGCCTACTCTTATCAGAAGCTGAACATTTCTCAGCAGTTACGCAAAAAGTGTGACTGTTTTAGTTTAGTATCAGGTTTTGAGTGAAGAAATCCTTCCCTTACAGAGACATATACTTCATGCTTTAACATGACATGCTGCACACAAATGTACATCTGTATTGTGATGTTGTGCGTCTCATGTGGTTACACATTCAACAAAGAAAAAAGGCCTGAAAAACTAATCAAAACAAAAGAGGCAAATCTTAAATAACATGAAAAGCAAACTTAGACTGACCTTTCTTTCTGTTATATTATAACGTTACAGACTTCAACCACATAAGTGTGTGCCAATTATAGATGCAGCACACCAATTTTCCCTGATAAAGTTTATTCTAAGGTGCTGGAAAGGAGGGTCTAGCCCAGGGGTATTCAACTAAAATTCAACGAGGTCCAGTTAGAGAAAATCTCCCCATGCAAAGGTCCGGAACATCAAAATGTCTAACTTGCTTTATGAATTAGTGTGATATATATTGAAGTAGCCTGTAGCTTTATCAACGTCTGCATGTAATCAACAACTGACTGCCAATCAAATAAAGAAAGTACAATTCAAAAACAACAATATTTATTGTCAATTAACATTGAACTATACAGATATACAGTAAAATACTGTGAATATGTGTAATGTTCCCCTCTGGCCGCATTTAAAAATAGGAGAAAATAAATAAAATAGCTTTTGAAAATATGTGCTTAATTTTAGATAAAAAAAATAAAGTGTAGCAGCAGCTTGAGTTTCCCTTTTTCTTTGTTAACTGTTTCACATCATGACTTAACAGTTTCAGCCGATTATAGAACAATATCAATCTTTACACATCATAACAATTGAACAGTTTTAAAGTTAATCTTTCTTTCCCTCTTATATTGCAGTCCCTCACTCACTTTTTTTTAATTCAGTGCGAGAATTGAGCTGGAGCTTGTCCTGCCAGGAGTTTAAATCTGGGCTGAAATGGTGTCAGGGCCATTCTCATACACATGCAGGTGCTCATTGGTTAGCCTCGGTTAGCCTGCCCTGGAACGATATTTAGTTTTAATTTTGACTGCTTATTTTTTGTGACCTCAGTTCTGACTTGAGAGGGAATGTTTGGTCAAACACTTTGTGTTTTGTCTCATAGAGGCGTTTTGGCACTTTTAATGAGCGCCACGGTCTCTGAACAAATGAGACACACTGGTTTTGTGCTCCCAGTGGGCAGGATGAACATGAATGAGTCCGTCCACTCAGGGTTAAAAGCTCTGTTCTCACTGTCCACTTTCCTCTTCTTGGAGAGCGCCATGTGTAATTATTGGTCTCTCCCTGTCTGCCGCTAACACGCCTGTTCACTCTCCTCTCCGCTTCTCTCCCTGTATTGCTAATTATTCTCTTCACTCACTTTCCTCTCCTCTCTGCCGCTCTCTCGTCTCTTCTTCTGTGTTTCTCTCCCTGTATCGCTCACTCGTCCCTGTCGGTGGCGGTTAAAATACAATCGCCCCGTCAAAATTGAAATCCCCTATTAATGTATTGATTATAGGTCCGGGTCCGTATAGAGTGGCGAAGTCCCTCCCACTTACTTCCGGGGTATGGGACCTTATTTCGGAAAAATTATGCATTGAAGTCAATGGGGAGAGAAAACTTATCTTTCGATCCCGTTTGAATTGTGCCATGAATTACACATATGATGTTTGTCAAACTTAAAAAATAATTTCCATGTCAAAAAAGTCACAGTTTGTCGTAAAACTGTTGAAATATAAGACTATGAAAAATACGTAACTAGAAAGACTACAAATCCCAGAGTCGCGTAAGTGATGTCACAATTGTTTACCTCCACCATTCAGATACCTAAGATCAGCGCAATATAGATATAATCTATCTATATGGCGCTGGCTAAGATAAGATAACTTTAACAAGATGCCTGTGTGCTTAGTACCAGGTTGTTATTATACCAGCAATGGGTCTTGCTTGTTCTTTTGCTTCCCGTCTGATGAAACGACCAGGAGTGGCTTGATCAAGTTAGCTACCTAGCTAGTAGCTAGCACGTTAGTTAGCATTACAGCCTTGTCATTTTTATTAGCCTTAACATGAAGTAACATGAAGTAACCCAAAATGTTAAACAGTAAGAGTAGTAGTCATATTTCGTGAACCCTTTGAATAGTACTGTCACCGGTGTGATCATTCTATAATACACCATTTAATTCCGGGGGAGAAATGCTAACGCTAACGTTAGCATCGGCGATCTTCTCTACTTCATGCTATCTGCACAAATGGTTGACATTAAACATTAAAACGACCAGGCAGTTCAGAGAGAATCAAAGGAAGGCAGGCAGGCAGCTTTGCATGACATTCTTCAGGACGTGTTTCATTGTGGTGATAGTCAATCGTTTGTTGACAAGACAGTAGTGACGGCCATCTTGGTGACGTGTGTGGTTGACCAGAGATGTAGTTCATTGAGCCTTTCACACAAACAAATGTGTTACTTCACAGTTTTACGACACATTT